TTGTTGTGGGTGTGTTGCTCCTTGGGCTTGATTGATTCGTATCTATCAGCAAAGTTGCCAGACTCAATTAAAAATGCTAATTGATGTCTATTCTTGGGCCATTGTCAAAGCAAAAGCGCAGTGCGAGATACGTGAACGTATCTTGCAATTAGCCACAAAAGTCACAGGCGGCAATTAATATTTCATTTTGTCAATAGATTAGTTGAATTTCGCGGGCTCGGACTGTCAGCATTCATATTAAATTGAGCGTAATTACAAATAGTATTTGTATACCCTGTAGCGTAGGCAAAAGGTGCTGCCAGACGGGTGGGAAAACTTGAGATACTAGAAAGAGAAAGAACTGGGAATAGGGAGGGAGAGAGAGAGAGAGTTAGCTAGAGTGAGAGTGAGAGGGAGGGCAACAGGTGCTGCCAGATGGAGAAAGAACGAATAATAGAGATGGAGAAAGACAGAGTATGTGAAAAAAACTATTTAATTACATACATTTAGTATACAGGCTCTGTACTCTGTAGTTATACATTAAATAATTTAAGAAAAGCTAAGCATTCCTTTATTAGAGCACTCACATCTGTTTTTTTTTTCTGCTAGGGTATTTAATCGTCGACAACCCAAGTTCTCTCTGTTTTTTTATTATTATCTATTTTGTTTAATTTGCGAATTGGTGTGTGTTAAATGTCAGCTCAAATATTTATTTACCTAGCTGCTGATATATCATTCAACTCATTAAAGCAATTAAAATCTTGTTGTTGTTCCAGAAACTTTGCTGTCTGTGTGCCTGTGTGTGTGTCTGTGTGTGTGTGTGTGTAGATATTTATTTATTTTGTTTTTGGGGCTTGTCGTTTGAGGGCGTGACACTTTTTAAATAGTTTAAATACATGAAAAAGTTGTCAAAAAGTTTACTTTTCGTTTTTATTACAAAACTCGCTCGCCCTCTCTTTCCCTTACTCTCTCTCTCTCTCTCACTCTCTCACACTCTCGCTCAGAGTTGCCACCCAGCCGCAAAGCTAGCTGGGCAAACTGTTTGAGAAGTTTTAGTCAACTTAATTAGCACGTTGATTACTTTTAACGCCCAATCGAGCAGAGGCAATGATTTCATTAGCTGCTCGCGGCTGGCGTTGCCCCCCTTCGCACCGTTTGCCACGCCTCGCTCAAGTGTTGCCACATGGTTGATGGGAATTTTGGCTTTGCCAAGTGTAGCATAAAGTGCGCTATGATTATTTAATTGCCGCAAAGTCTCGAGCGTAGGGTAGTTTGGAAAGGTGGGGAAGGAGCGGCTAGAGTGCACTATTGGGCTGAGAGTCGTTGAAGAGTTGTAAACGTTGCCAATTAGTTGGCATATGGTAAGAGGGCTGCCACTTGGCCAATTTGAATATTTGATGACACTTCCAGCTGCTGTTTTTGCATTCCCAAATTGCAAGTTCCCGTAGAGAAGATAAGTAGAAGAGTTTAATAAAGTTAAAATGTGTTTGCTTGAATTCTTAAGCTATTAAGCTAAAGCTTGGGGCAGCTTTTGATATAAAGCTTTGTTAGTAGGTAATAAATTCATTCACAGTGTAATCTTCTATATTTTTATTTCCTCGTTTTCCTTTATTTAATAAGTCGGCGTCATCTCGCGTTCTTCATTGCTTGGAATGAGCTGCGATTTTTACAAAATACTTAAAGCCTATACTAATATTGCTTTACAACACTGGATGTTGTGGCAGTTGACTTCTGAACACTGTTTACACAGTACGCAACAGTTTTCTGATTTTTATTTAGAACCTTGTCAGCTTGATGACAATGACAGTCTAGTCTAGATCTAGATTTCTTTGCTGGGTTAGGAACTTATATGTTTGCTGTAGTAAGAAATTCTACTTCTTGAAGTTGCTTTTTTGCTTTAATTGATAATGCATTCAATATGTCCACAATGCATCAGATATGCTTACCATTATAATAATTCAACATATTACTCAAGAACAGCCCGCATATTATTTAATTTCCATGACATCATTGGCGCAAAACAGTGGCAAAGGAGTTTTTTTTTTGTCATTTGCACTGTCTGCGTAAAATTCTCAACCGGTTCTAGGGCCGGTTTTGTGACCTGCTTAACTTGAGGAATCAGCCAGCAGGGCTCTTTTGTCTGTGAACAGATCTGTGCATTGAGGTGATGAAATGAAAATTAAGGAAACAAGAAATGCAAATTATTATTTGTACATATTGCAGAGCTCGACATGAGTGCAATTATTTAATAGTTTCCATGCTTTTAACGTTTGGAGTAGCTTTTTAGAGATACAATATTTAACTCTATTATTTGCGTTCATCATGCCGAATGTCGAATTGCCTTGTTGTCTGTCATTTGGCCCATTTGTTGTCTCATTTAAGCCGTGCAGCGTCTCAAATTGAGCGTTAAATTCAACACATAATATACGTTTTATGGCCCTGGCCCATGGCTTTATAGCCGCAACGAACTAGCCCCCCCCCACCCCCTTGGTGTTTCCCCTGGCCCCTTGCCATGCTCTAACTCATCTGCCGCTATCTGAGAGGCAACTTGTTTGCCTTTGAGCTTACAAGCAGCAAACAGCGTTTGCCACATGCAACAGGCCAAAGGGAAAACCAAGAACTGAGAACAATGGGGCTTATATATATATATAGATATATATACATATGCCATATCATAGACATGGCCGTAACATGCCTCGTTATAATGTTTACTCGGGCGTTTAGTTGGAATTATTTGATCGCCTGACAAATCCTATTTGCACGCTTCGCAGGAAAATCAATTTATTCCTTCGGTCCTCGGTCTGCCCCATAAAATTCCGCCGCGTCTTCGGATTTTTATTGTGGCAACCCTTTTATCATTGATCATACTTACGAACTGCGACTACGATTCGATTTTTATGGACTTGCTAAGATGCATTCGCGCTTCCTGTAGGTCCCATAAAATGAAAAGGGAGAGAACAAAACTGACTAGAAAATGCCCTGTAGCCAAAAAGAAGAAGCATTTTAGGGAGAGAGACAAACTCTGCTCTTTATTTATTTTTGATTCATCTTACAAATAAGTGACCTTTGCATATTGTCTGAACTTTATGTTCCAGGCATATAGATAACATCTAATTGTGTTTGTATATTACATAAATTGAAGCATTTAATTTTGGGAAATGAGGGTAGACATCCATAACGAGAGCATAAGGAAAATGTTGTCCATACAATCCAAGAGTTGATCTTAGAGACGTTAATGTCTCCTGGTTGCGTACATTTCCACAGAACCATCATACTCTATTTTAGCCATTTTCACAGGGTATACTTTATATGGGAAGGGAGCTCTAAAAAACTCTGACTCATTGCCTGCAGTTTAATGGCAATTAGTTGGAAAATTTGTTCGGCTACCGTTGACGGTGGTCGCTTCAGCTAGAAATCAGCTAGATGCTGGCCAGTTCCAGTTCCAGTTTCATTGAAATGACACCCAGCCCAAAAAACAAAAAAAAACAAAGGGAAGAGATACGCAATGTTGTCTGTGGTTAGGCGCAGGTTCTTGGGCAACATTTAAATGATTGCCGCCGCACATTGCCTCTGCTTGGATTATGTAATTTAGCTTTGTTTTCTTGATTTTGTGTAGTGTATCTTTGTATCTGTGCTGCCCACGTCTGAGATCAAGTGGTGGCAGCCACATGGCGGGGCAGGAAGCGCTGCTCTGGCCAAACGTTGGTGTCAGCTGAAGATGTTGTTTGGGTTCTCTCATGCAACACGTGGGCGTTGCTGCTGCCACTTCTGGCACACAATTGCAGCCGTGCCTCGACATCAATCACATACATATATATATATAAATATATATATTTGTTGCCAATTGCGCGCAACAACAAGCGAAAGGCGATCAAATTGTCTGGCAAAGGCAAAACAAAAGCCGGCAATGTCAGTGCCAACATGTTCGTCCAGCAGTTGCATTACAACATGCTCGACATGTAAGCGTCTAGGCGAACGTGTTGCAGCCAACATAAATGTTGCATGCGCTGCCTGCTGCGCTCTCTTGCAACATGTTGCTTCTGTAAGCGTCTGGACATGTTGCGCGCTCAGTTACAAGACACAAAAACCATTTATGCGCACAAATTAAATGAATATAACTAAAATTTTTTAATATTTAATAAAAATTAAGCCTAGCTTAAGCTAAGTTGAAGTTCTTTTATTTAATTACCAACAACTATTGCGATACTCACAAGCTGTTCCCATTTGATTGCTCAATTTAATTTCTTTCAGTGTATACATGTTGTGCTCTCAACATTGCGGCGCATCAGTTCAGATTTTGTTGCTGCCGTCAGATTCAGTTGTTATCTGTAAGTCGCTTCGTGTCGTCACATGTGCGGATTAAACGCATGCCCCACGCATCTACTTAAACAAAGTCTATTCGGAATTCCAACTTTTATGAGGTAAACAAAACAAATACCGAGTGCAATAAAATAATACCACATATATCTATATATGTGCGTATTACTCTGCGTGCGATATTAACAAACGGTAAAAGTCGCGCGCGATTTTTAAATAAAAATAAAAGTAATTTGACTAAAAATATCTGAGAAATAAACTATTAATAAATAAACAAAATAAAAAAAAAAAACTATTTTAATGTCAAATATATAAAACGTTTCAAATTAAAAATTGCTCAAAAAAATTGTAAATTGTTTTGTTTCTTATAAATAAAAACAAAAACACATAATTAAAAATCTAAAAATACCAAAAAGTTGTGTGAAGTTTCGAGTTATTAAATTAAAAAAACAGAAAATAACAGTCAAAAAGAATTTTAAAATATTTTCGACAAATTCTGTGGAAGTATTCAATAAACGAAAAATAAACAAAAAATATTTGCATATAGAAATTCCTTTTAAATAAAATATGAAAAAGTGAAAACAATAAAAACAAAACTACAATACATAAAAATTTACAAAATCAAATAAAATAATTAAATAAAATAAACTATTTTAAATAAAATAAATAAAAAATAAAAAAATATATATCGAATAATATAAAAAAGTAAAAGTAAATAATTTAAAAACAAACTAAAAAAAAACATTTAACCACAAATTCCACTTTCAAATCAAGCAAAAAAGTGTTGAAAACTTGATAAATAATTTGCCAAAAAAGGCAATTAATTAGCGAAAAGAATTTCAATTGCGGCAATAAAAACAATTTTCCAGCAATGTAAAACGCAATTCGATTCAACGCAATGATTTGTGTGAAAAAGTGAATTAACAAAAGAAAATGCATTAAACAAATGCGAGTGCGAGTTTTATAGAACGTGCGGCAACAAAGCGAGAAAAAGGCGACGAACAATAAAAAAAAGAGAACAGAAGGAAAGGTCCAAAGAGCAGACGCAGATAAAGATACAGATACATCTATAGCTGCAGATACAGATACAGCCAGAGCTGCAGATACAGATACATTTATAGCTGCACATAGATTGAGAGATCAGCTCGTGGCAATGGGCAGCAAGGGCTTCTTCCCGCTGATGCTGCTGCTGCTGCTCCTCCTCGCCGATCTCGGCTATACCGAGGAGCATGCGCATCGCCACGCCCACAATGGCACCACCAGCGGGCCTCCGCCGGCTAGTTCCCGCCGCCATCAACAGCAGCAGCTGCAGCAGCAGCGCCTGCAGCAGCTGCAGTGGGCGCAGGCGGATAACAGGCTGGACAACGGCGGTCATCATCATCATTTGCGGCACGAGCAGCATCTGCGCGCCGAGCTGGCGGGCAATGAGAACAGGCAACCGCCGCCGCCGCCGCCAAAGACCATGCAGCTGGAGCTGGAGCAGCTGGCCATGTTGGGGCACGGGCCGGGCGAGCAGCATCATTTGCGGCATCACAATCGCCATCATGCCGCCTGGGAGCAGCGCGTCTTTCCGGAGCTGCACCAGCGCCAGCATCGCCTCGGCCTGACCACAGCTGCGCCAGCAGCTGCTGCCTTGGTGACAGATGCTCCACTGCCTCAGGCTCTGGGAGGCAATGGCACTGTGTCCACGCGCTACTTTGATCGCGATGGCATATATCCGGCCTGGACGCAGCCGCGCTCGACGCGTGCGCCCAATTGGCAGCAGGAGATTGAGGATGACAGCGAAGATGAGAATGAGGACGACGATGATGATGATGATGATGATGATGATGATGAGGAGGAGGAGGACTATAAGGATAATGAGCCCGTGGCGGATGATAGCTTTGCCGCCGAACTGGCCAAGCAAATGCCGCGCTACTCGTTCTTCAGCCAAAAGCTGCCCCAGATTAGCTCCATGGAGCAGGACTACGATGCCTACGATCAGGACGAGCCGGCGCTGGTCACCAACAGACATCCCAATGTGGCCGCCAGCCACACCAAGGCCGCCGCCAAGCGCAACATATTCGACTGGCTCTTCAAGCCAAAGCTCAAGCCGAAGACCTCAACGGCCAAGCCCCAGGCGGAGAGCGCTGACCACGCCTCCGCGGAGGAAGCGGCCTTCTCCAACGAGCAGTGGAACAAGATCGAGCACGAGCATCATCTGAAGCAGCAGCAGCACCAGAAGGAGCTCCAAGCACTGCGCGACAGCAACAAAAACAGAAACAGAAACCGAAACGCGCCGCTGATAAGAGCCCGAGGCGGCATTGATAATGAGGTAAGTTTTGGCATTGCGCCCATTTATATAGCTATAGCTATAGCTACAGATATAGCTACAGATATAGTTCTAGCTGTAGCTATTGTTATTGTTGCTGCTGAAGTGATGTCATTAGACATTGTTATAAATACGCGGAGCAGATAAGTCAGACGCACACACACACACACGAGCTGGCTGCCATGAAATGGGCCACAAATTGGATCGCTTTATAGCCCGACTGGTCAACCAGATGGACACACACAAACAAACCAACAAGCACACACACACGCACACAGTTTCAATATTTACACTGCGAGAAAAGAATGTCTACTATGAATCATTATACTTATCATGGCATTGAACTGAAAACTGTAAAGATTTCAGGCAAATGTGTGTGACAGGCAGTTGGCATATAATATATAGATATATATTTCTAATCAGATCGCTTGACTGAGTTAATCGAAACATATCAATTTGTTTGTCTGACGATCTCGAAAACTATAAAAGCGCGAGAGATTTGTTGTTTAATATAAATGTTCCTTCGTATCAAAAGCGGAACGAGCTGTTATTATTGATAAATATAGATTTTGAGAGAGAGATAAAATGTTTGCAAGGGCAGCTTAGCCTTGGCTTCAGGCTATGTCTTAGTCGTGCATACCCGACCAGAGCACCCTCTCTTGCCATATTTCAACTTCACTTTATTTATTATTATGTGGCATAAAAAATACAGCTCTTTCACCAATTTCCCACGCTTATAAGTGAACAAATTAAATCAGAAATGAATAAATTATAATTCAATTATAGCTACTGCAAGAACTGCAGCGAACTTACATTCATCAGTCAGTCAGTCAGTCAATCAATCAATCATGATTGCCAAACAGTTCCATTAATTTCGCTCAGTGCATGCTACCTTTGTGTTGCAGATGGATGTGAAGGTAAATAGCCGTGCATACGCACTGACCCTGGCTAATACCGTTTGTGTTGTGTTTGGGCTTTGCCAGCAACAGCCACAGCCACAGCAATTGGCACCGTAACAGCAGCAACAACAACAACAACAACAACAACAACAACAACAACGAGAGCTACAACAACATATAATAAATATTTACAGAATTTTGTTAAAGGGGCAGCGTTGATTTCTGAACCAGTTGTCCAATTGTTTATCCAGTTGCCCGGCTACTCCGCGCCGTTCGGCCAATGCGGCTGACTAATTGAAACCAGCAACAGCAACAACAACAACAACAACAACAACAACAAGGAGCAGTGGCAACCGCAGCAATTGCAACAATTTGTTGCATTTAATTTGCGCTTTTTGCATAGCTTTTGTTTTGTCAGCTTTTAATTGCATTTTGTGGCGCATTTCGTTCAAATTTAATTTTCGTTTTCGGTTCCTAACGTTGCCTTTTTCCAGATCTTTTAGCTACATCTTTCCTAATTGCAAAGTACAAATTTAATTAGGCCCCAAGCAAATAATTGGTACCTGCACAAGGTGTTGTGGGGGAGGGGGGGGGGGGGGGTAGCATACTTGACAGCCTAAAGACGCGCGCGAAACGCGTGCGGCTCGCTGGCGTTTTGTTGTTTTTTACTCCCACACACAATTTTCTTGTGCTCTCTGTATAATATGGAAAAATAAAATATATTATTTGTGCTTTGTATTGTCTGCCAAAAATGCTGCTCATTACGAATTATTTAATATTCATTAAGTTAAGAATTCAACAAGAACTCATATGTCATATGTTTGCCCCACAAGTAGCTGAATTTGTATACCCTAACAGACTCTAGACGCTCATGATGATTGCCTCAGCATGTATGTTAAGCACACATGGAAACATATGTGAGGTATACCCGGTCGTTAGAGCCAAGTTCCCTTTATCCAGCTTTCCTTCTGTCTATGCGAACTAGTCCTGCTGAGAAGCTAGCCCAATAGAACTTAGCATATATTCGTATATCTGTTGCAGGCAGATCTTATGTCGGAATTGGTCTGCTTGGATTAGGGACTTCTTCAGCAAACTCTGTTTCATTAGTTTTATAATCTTTATATATATTGAGCTAAATCCTATCAAAATTGCACTATTCTATTATATATCTCTATAGCAAGCCTCGTTCGACAAATAAGTTTTTGTATGGCAAACTATTCTGTTTGCCAAGTTTTCTCACATTTCTGCAGTGCAATAAGGCTAAAGTCTATGAGGGTATTAAATTTTCTACTTGCTGCAGATATGCTGACTTGTTTTCTTAATTAATTAATTTACTAATTTACACCTGAACAAGATCTCAGCAATATCTCCTTAAAATAATCAAATCTTCAAGATATCTTGACCAAATTCAGCTGTGGCCAGCTTCAATATTGTTTTCACATAACTTAGACGTATTAAATCGGACTACTTGATATAATTATTGGTTATTATATATTATCTAATATTTTACTCAACTGGAACAATCTTTCGGCTATAAATTATTTCTCTTCCATCCGCTTCGAAGCGTGTTTAGTCTTCGGCTTGCTTTAGCTTTTCATTCTTGTTTGTTTCAACTTATTTATAGAACTTAACTTGAAACATTTCGCCACATCATTTGTCATATTGTTGCCTCAATTTTGCTGACAAATTGCTGTTCGCTTCGCTGCCAATTGCCGCTTGCCACTTGCCACTTGCCACTTGCCACTTGCTAGATGTGAATTTTATTCATAAAAATGCGCGAAATTGCGTTCATAATTAACACATAATTATTTGTTGAATTTCGCTGCATGCTGTAAGTAAAATGATAAACAATGCGAAGCGCCATAAAAATCAACTTGAATAAAATGATTGAGAATGAAAACCAAAAAAAAGAAAAACGCTCGAAAAAAGAAAAAACATTGTAAATAGCAAAATAAACAGACAGCAGCAGCAGCTGACGGCACAAAGCAAAACAGCTGCAACAAAAACAATAACAAGTGTGTGTGCGGGTGTGTGTGTGTGTGTGGCAAGACAACAGAATAACACAAAAACAAAAAAAAAAAAAAAAATACAGCACGCGGCACGAGTCGCTTTTTACGACAGGTGAAATTGGCGCTGAGCCATTCGCTTGACAAGGCGCTCAGTGGTTGTCCTCCCCCCCTCTCTGCCCGCTGCCCTTCGGCCCCACTTCTGGCCACAAAAAGTGACACACATATTTACACACGTCTGCGGATGACGCCGTGGCGCTTTTGTTTCCTGTCCGGCCCCGCCCCGCGACGATGGCGGCAGCCACTCGTAAAATGTATCTCGATGTTTACATAATGCATTATTTGCATATTGCTCTCATTGCGGTCCTTGCTTCAGTTGTTGCAGTTGTTGCACTTGTTGTTGCCGTTGCACTTAATTGCAAAGCTGGTAAAACATTTTTCAACAATCATCATACCCTATAGCTTTGCAATGTGGGGTAGTTAGGTGCAAAAGGAGAACGAAACGAGGACACTTCAGAGTCGACAAATTCACGATGTGTCAAAATGAGGCTGAGTGTTCTATAGGGTATTGCCTAGTCGATCACTCTTTATTGAAGAGTTTATAGTAGCCGCAATTATGACAAGATAAAGGCAAGTCTAGTCGCATCTTTTAATATTTGCCTATTTAATATGTATTAATCTGGTTACAGGGTATTAACTAGTCGAGCACTCCCTACTGAAGTGTTACCAGTTGCCTTAATTGTGGCTAGATAATTCCACCACAACTATTTATTTTTGTCTATTAAAAATATATGAATAGGCTTACAGGGTATTTCCAGTCAAACACTCTTTACTGAATTCCTTATAGTTGCTGTAATTGTGACTAGATGAATTCTTGATCTCTAGAAGAAACGATTCTAAGCACATCTGCTTAGAACTGTCTGATTACAGGGTATTTCATAGTCGAGCACTCGAAACCTTTGCATTCCTTCTTTGTAGTCGAGCTCTTAATATGTGTCAATTCCTACTTTGCTTAAATTGTGGCCCAATTCTTTATGTGCATAACAGACTGAGTCTAATTTTGTCTGTTTATAACTTTGCATTACAGGGTACAACCTAGTCGAGCATTCATTGCTAGGGGGCTGCCTGCTCCTGCGTTAATTGCACTCATTTCTTGCTGTTCATTAACGCTTCAAGTGTGGTTAACCGGGGCGTATGCGTAATACTCAGCACTGATTTTAAATAGCGAATTAAAATTAAAATTTTAGTTAATTACAAAGCGCAGCAGCTGATATTTAATTTGTTCGATTAAAGTTGGCAATTAATTAATCGCAGATTTCGAGCTCAACTGGGCTGGAAAATTGGGGGTCAGTTGCAAGCGAAATAATACAGAATATTCCTATTAATTTATTCCGCTTGCAAAATATTTAACATTTTTTGGAAATTGATTTAGCCCATTTCCATTTTGCGGGCTTTAAATTAGTTTATGAATATTTAAAAGCATTTTTAAAATTCATACATTTGAATGGAATGCATAAAACAAATGAAACATTTTATATTCTATGTGTTTGCAATTTGGCTTTGTGCAGAGAAAAGGAAGCGTTTATTTGTAGTGCCGAAATTTGAATACACTATCTTAGCGAAATTTCTTGCATTAAATGTTAATATGAAATATTTTACATTTTTAATGGACTTTAAAAGTCAAACTGAATTTTAACTTAATCAAAAGCAAGAAACTTTACAAATATTCTGTTTTATAGAATTTTTAGTACACAATTTATATGTTTGATCGATGCATATGATATATCAATATCTACATCAATAAAGTATATTGTTTAGATAAAAAACAAACAACATTTTGAAGCAACACTGACTTTTCATGGACTTGCCAGTCAAGCGTACCAGAAATGTATAATGTCCCAACCTTTTGGAAGGGTATGGAAAAAAGCAGCTTAAGAGCTGCATTTGTTAAATGTTGCATTGAAATCGGTCGCATAAGCCTTTAAACTGCTTTGACCAAAGCTGTTGCTGCTGCGTTTTACCTGGCAGCAACAACAGCAACAACAGCAACATCAACAGCAGCAACAATAACCGGGTATTAAGGAACAACAATTGCATA